TCTCCACTGGTATTGGTTTGCTTCTCTGTACTACCTGTGTAACAAGAGAAGACAAGGGCCAGCCAACAGATCGTTTATTAAGGAAATCAACACATATTTATATATTTTCATGTACATATTATAGATTATTGTTAGCAGAAAAACACAGTCCTCTGATTGGTTGTTTCTCACAGAAAGTTAACCTTGCATCACTTTGTGACGGTTTCTTGAATGTCAGGTCATCTATATGTTAACTGTATCCGCCTACGCAAAGCCTTTGTTCTCATTTTTCTCACGACCAATATTGCGGACATATACATTGACGTAAATTATTGTCCACCAATTTTGGCTAATAGCCAGCTCTCACCACGCCTGTAGTTGAATAGGTACCGGCAAGATATGTAAAAGAAGACAACGTCCTTTAGATTCCTCCCTTTAATATTGATGTGTATGTGTATGTATGTAAGTGTTGGCTAGAAGGCATTTCCACCACCTCTTTCAAATGAATTCCCTTGTGTTCCTAGGCTTTTTTCTAATGATTTATTTTAAATTTTCTTTTGTACACTCTGGAATTTCTACAGAATAAAGCATTAATTGTCTGCAACATTCAAATCTTCCAGTGTCATTTTGTCAATCCTCCACAGTGTGCTTATCTTGTCATTCCCCAAATTCTACTGTACAATCCATTCCACCACAATCAGGAAGATTACAGAAACGATCGAGTAATAAGGCTTGTAAATATTGATCATTATCCTTGAATTCACCACGAGATCTAGCATATTTAGTAAATTAAAATAGGCTTCAAGAGGATGTTTTCACAGTTAAATATTGAAGCACCAATAATATGCCATAAAAGAAATAGGTTGGTTAGTGGACTAAAATATTTTGATATTACGTTAATCTGTTTGACTGAAAACTATTCATGATAATAAGGATCAAATTCTGGTTAGTCATTTTTGAACAAAACAAGAACTACACTTTTAGCAGAATAAAGTTGTACAATCTTTTATTTCGTCTCCTTCTCGCAAGCTCAGCTGCTTACAGGGCAAAGACATTAAATATAACTACAAAAACAATTTTAACATACTTGCACAGAGTTCATTTTAAGCAAAAATCAATCGATCAGTATATGCATACAGTAATAATATATATGTAAAATTAAACACTATTCCAAGCAATCATATACAATGGAAACTTTTCAGCATTTCGCATTCAGATGAAAGAGAGATGAAAAATATCCAGTTACCAGGGCAAAGAAGGACTGATCATCGCTTATTTCTGGACGCATAAATTAGGTTTCAGGCGCTTGATGGAAATGACTTCAGTAAACTTGAGGAGAATTGAGCTCTTTTGTCCATCGATAATTCTGAACGATTTTTCGACGTCCACCTCATGACCGATCCGTGTCGAGGAGATGCCTGGCGATGGCACTGTTTAAAGCATTTGTTCCCTTTAGACGTAAGTTTTTTGGTATATGTTCAGAAAATCGTATATATGCCCTTCTTTCTGTCCTTCCAATGTAATTGCTCCCGCAGATACATGTAAATTTGTATATACACTTGGAGTTGTTAACATGAGAAGGATATCTATCGATTTTTGATTGCACCAAAGAGCAATACTTACATTTTAATAGCCTTTGTCCAAAAAGCTTTATACGCGGACTAGTCAAGACTCTGTACTATAAAGCGGGAAGACAATATTCTCAGTAGTGAAATTAGAGGAAGAATTTGAGTTTCTTAAAAAGATATTGAAGAGCAATAGATACCCTCAAAGGTTCATCAACAAGTATGGAAGATCTGAAGTCACAAATGTAAAACGAATCACAGTGGGTTTTTTATTTTGTTGTTTTTTTCCTTCATATTCCCAGTGGAACATAGGGCTCCAAGCTAGAGGCTTGAAGTTTCTGTAGCAGTGGTGTTTATTTTACAGGATGGGGTTGCTAGCCTCGTGCTCAACCTCCCCTATTTACCAGTCTCACTACTGGCTTAGCGAGGTAAAGGAGTGCGTCGGCCGGGGATCGAACCCCGGACTATGTGCATGGTTGGCGAGCGTCCTAACCGCTGTGCCACCGACGCACTAAATCACAGTGGGTAAAAAGCCAATCTACATTCAGCTTTATTATAAAGGTGAAAACATTGAAGCGACGATCAACAGAAGGCTGAGTACATCACTAGCCATAGACAATCCCGCAGCTAAGCTCGTTCCCGTCTATCGAACAACTTGCTCTTTGGTGCAATCACTCTGTGAATGAATAATGTCAGGTGATACTGATCAGCATTTACTACTAACTGATAGATGTGAGTAATTTGACAGTACCCATATCACTCATTAGCCTGAGTGAAATGAAAATTCATCAGATCATTTGATTGATTTGGCTGTTTGAAATGAATCCAAATCAAGAACACTGCTAATGAGCAGGGGGTCCCAGTGTTTAGAACACACTTCGATCTAGGCAGCAAGCGCAACTAGTATCCAACTAATTATATCAATCAAACAAAAGTTTTTTAACATCAAACATTAATTAAAAGTCAGTCTGAACGAAGAATATTCTTTTCAATAATTTCTCTTCAGGTTCTTACAATTATAAAATATAATATTTGTTGTCGTTACAATAAAGGACAGTTATGCGGCGGATACATTTGTAACTTAGAATAACAGATTAGTTATGGGGTGTCAAAATAAATAGTCATATTTGTGTGACAAACGTGCTAGGCTGAAATCGATTAGAAATATTGTAAAATGAGAGACAATGGTGGTGATTAATCTTAATAGAATTGTAGAGTGTGGGGTAAGAAAATTGACAAATCAGTTCAAGATTATAAAAGGTGTCAGGTGAGTGGCTAGTACAAAGTGGTCTGTGTTAAACAGGAGATAGTAAGACTGCTATGACATGTTCATAATGAGATAACGAAAATGTTAAATGAAACAGGTAGAGGCATATATTGAGAAAACAGATAATATCACTAATAATAAGCCCGAATAGTATAAATGAAAATTCTATAGCATTGAGGGACTGTTTGCATAAAGGGCATAAATTATGATGAATAATAATAATACCTGTAATAATAATATTTGTAATAATAAGGAAAGTAAAAAAAAACCAAGAGGGTTATGGGGAAGGAGCACTCTTGGTGAGAAGAAAAATCTTCAATCCAAGTTTGGCCACGGTAGGATTTTTATTTATTTATTTATTTAAACGCATAAAAAACTTGGTACAATATGGCACCAAGAAGGATGCTCCACACAATGGTAATAAAACAACACAGATCAAAAGAAAAAACCTAAGTAGAGAACGGATAAAGAACTTCATCTGGAAGGAAAACAGTCATGCTTAACAAGTTCAAACAGTATTCGTTAACTATCGTCGGGAAGGGAAGAGAGAAGGAAATTGCAACACGTTCGCCATTGATTACGATTCTTGGCTATATCCGATAACGTTTCGAGCTATCGATTCGAGCTATCTCGCGGACCCTAACCAGGGAGTCGTAACGCACCAACCGATGCTAATCTAGCGCAAAATCCTTCATCCCACGACGCCACGTCATGCAGTGACCACCCCTCCGCCTTTTCCATCCCGTCCCAGGGTGAGCGAACACAGACCTGTACGGAAGCCTCTGGGATGACATTCGCTGCACATGTCCAAGCCACCGGAGCCCGTATTTCCAGATGACGACACTCAATGAATGGTGATCTCCACTGTGTTCAAACACACGCCACCGAACCACAGAATTGCTCACGCGATAATGCCATCGAACGCAAGCAATCCTGCGGAGACAGCGTTAATCGAACACGCAGAGCCGCCGCACATCCTCAGCCTACTCGGAGAGGCTGGAACGGTTGGAAATCTCACCCGCCACCCCTCCGCCAGCACTCATACAACTACCCAGGTACACAAACTTATCAACAACTTCATGCGGTTCACCTGCAAGAGTGAGTGCAGGTACAGGCTCCTGCCAATCTTGTAACAGTACTTTGCACTTAGACGGCGCAAAGGACATACCATACTTACAGACACTGATCGCTAACTGATTAAGTGCGATTTGGGCAGCCTGCATGCTATCGCACAGTAAGACGATATCGTCTGCATACTCGAGGTCGAAAAGTCTATCTCCAGGTAGCAGATCTACACTACCTTCACACACATCCTTCAGAGCTGACTCCAGAATGTCATCGATGGCAAAGTTAAAGAGAAATGGAGAGATTGGGCAACCCTGTCTAACCTCACTGCTGGTTGTGAACAGTGATGATAGTTGGTAGGTAGGAACAGCATCTAGACGTGTTCTTTTTGGATACAAAGTTCCGACTTAATCGATCTTATTGCAACAGCTTCAGCTATGTGTAGGAGACGTAAGCGAGCTGTACGTGATAACAACTTCGGAATTCAGTATATAACCCTGAAAGCTGTGTTGACATCGATTTGATATCCAGTATCGACCAAGTGTGACAGGATCGAGCTTTTTATGCACTTAATTTCCCCCTTGCTGAACCAAGCGTTTGTTACGAGCATCGCATCATTGAAACCTTCAGTGTTTTGTCATTCTTAACTTCGCTCTTACAAAATTAACACACATAGAACAAATATTTAAACAATCAAATTTATATTTATCTATCTCACAACATTTAGGCTTTATCAGATTATATGACACATTATCATAAAAATTAGGTGATGATAATCATGTTATATAAAAGGAAACAATATGAGCTGAGTCATTTTGAAATATCAACATAAATGATTTTCGATATTTGATAGTTAGTGAGTCAGTCAATGTAATACACTTTTTTATCTTTAACTTTTGAATAAAAAAAAGGAATTTGAATTACGCGGTTATCGCAGTGTAGACAAAAGGAATGTTAAGTGATGTGAATAAAGAAAAGTAAATTGTAGATATCTGTATAGATTGATGAACTTTAATAGTATTAGAGATAATAGTTGTAATAATAATCATAAAAAGAATAACAACAAATTAGACATTGTTCCACATTTCTCATGATCTTCTTGTTTTTTGCACATCATTTGTCTTTTAACTGTCTTTACCAGTTACAGTTTCAACTATTTTGTCCACCACACTTTTACACTTAAGCCAACTACAGCTACCTGAGCAACATTCACTACTACGCCAACAGAATGATCCACCACCTAAGCAGACTTTACACTTTCCATAAAATGCTGATTCTAATTCGCATGAGAATGGATCACAGCATTGTGAAAAGACAGTTTTTGAACACTGCCCCTCCAAAGAGACGCATTCACCTAAAAATGTATAATAATAATAATAAAAACATCAGTTTTATTCTAGAAAACGTGTTTCAACACAATATAGAATTCTCAGAGTAACTTCAAGCAAAATATTTACCTATACAACCATACAATCTTCAAGTAAATATTCATCAACAGAATATCGGATGATACAACGTCATTGCTTCCGAAACAAGACTGTCTCCTCTCCAACATATTCTGCCTGGATTTTCTGTTTGAAGTGCACAGTGATAGGCTGGAACCCAATTAAAGTGTGTGTGAGTTTCTGCTGCAATCCGAAATCAATCATTGGGAGATTGAAACAAAAGGCCAGAAGGAAGGGAGTAAATTGGACGGATTATGTTGGATGGAAATTAACGTAACCCAGTGGTTTAAGTAGGCCTCTCACAGATATATATTAAATAGACAGAAGAAAGCTTAGAAAATCTATAAAATCAATTACTTAAATAATAATAAAAAGTGTGTTATTCATCACTGAAAAGTATTCACACCAAAACTATGCTTAAAATGAAATGTCTTCTTATATATAACCTAAAATATAAGCATGTTTTTTGGGGATTAAAGTGTATGAACTCCACTGATTTAAGGATGTTAGGGTGACGAACTTGTCAGTGATTCAGAAATTATGTAATTTTTTTTTAAATATTTCGTCTTTTTTTAGTGAATGTCCATTAGCGATATCATCACGTCAAAGCATGTGCGTCGGTGGCACAGTGGTTAGGACTCTTGCCGACCATGCATATATTCCGAGGTTCGAACCCCTGCCAACGCGCACCTGATATCTATAGTCGGCCTGCAAAATTTGGGCTACCGATATCACATGATGAAAATTCCATACCTGTACCGAAAAATGCGGTGTGGAATCAAGCTGTAATAAAACAAATCATACATGAGTATTCCTATAGGATTTTCAAATGGTACAATGTGCTAAGAAGTAAGATTTCAAGGATTAGCTTGCATGGATTTGATTGATGTCAAGTGTGATTATGAATTGGCAACAGTTAGACAACTAGTGAATACTCCAGAGAACCAGATAGCTGTTTTGTCCTAATTTTATACTGACTCTATAACAGTACGCATATACGACGCCACCAGGGGGCTCAATCATGGACTTTAGGTTACAAAGCGAATACGTGGACCATTCTGCCACTAGAATAGGATCCATCGGCTGACACATGAATTCTAGCTTTCACCCATTACCAACAAATAGTGTGGCCACTAGCTAATGGGATCGGTGAGTAATTGGCTTAACATGCATCCTCTGGTGTCAATGAAGAGTGTTAGATCAATTTTTGAGTATTGGTTTGCGGAGATCTGGTTTAGTTAGGTTTTGAATTTTCAGCGAATGATAGAACTATTTCTTCTGGTAACCTTGAATGCGATCGGTTGTCCTCTTATTAGTTTCTAGACTGTTTTTTTTTTCATTCCCTCTCATTGATTCATTCTGGTATGAGATGCTGAGTATCCGTTGATATGTTCAATGCTAATGTGGAATTTTCGATGGCATCTGAAGATTAGTATGATGTTATGGAGTTAGTGATACCCAGCAGTAGAATCTAGTATGTATATATTTGTCCTATTTGCTACAAGTTTTATGAATCTGCCTTCAGTGAATCATGATATTTCCGAATGATACCTGAACTCAACATCAATCTTTCCAAATGCCAAAGTATTATCCACCGAACCAACAGAATACGAGAATCAGGCGTTGGACAAAGTGTATTCGTTGTTTTTTTTCAAAAATTAGTTTGTGGGGATTTGATTGATTTCAGGTTTAACCATGAACTGATATCAGTTAGAGAACTATTAAAAACCACAGAGTACTGGACAACTGTTGTTCCCTTCTTGTCTGGGACTCAATATCACTACGCACTCACCGGATTATTATTATTTTGGATTTAAACAAACTAAACAAGATAAATTATATGCAATATATCAACAGACATTTTCGGTGACCAAAGTCTCAGGTAGGCAGCCCAAAGCTGACAGTCTAAGCCTATATGGCACAAGTCAGTAGTCAAAGCTACTTCACAGACTGATAAAATATTTTCATATGACCACTTCTAAGGTGCTAGTCGAAGATATTATTTCATAGGTGAGACTATTCCTTGCATCTCGAATGGATTATAGCGCCTTAGCTGATTTCACGACTGCTCATTTCCTCCCCCACATGATCTCCTCCATCTTACCCAAGGATGACCAGCCTTCTAACATCGCTTCGATTTCAACTTGGAGCCATCTTGTGTGAAGTCATTCAGCGGTCTCTTCCGGGTATTTTCAATCCCTCTCTACTTCATTCAGCATATTTATTAAGTAATAAACAGATTTTTGAATATCTCACTACCCTCCAGAGTTTCTTGTCGCATGTTTATCATTCAAGATCAACCATGTGATCTTCAGCACTGAGTGAAGCAATTTGGAGGTGATGAAAGTAGTATTCGAAATGCTCCTAGTGATGTGATCCTCAAATCACCAAACCATATAGAAGCAGTCACTGAAAAATCGGATCACTATTCTTTAAGCAAAGTAATTTAAATTCGTTGGGGATTAGATGATTTAAGTTTCAAGTAGTCATACTAATGATGACTATATCAATATTGACTGAAATTACCGTCTGAGGTTTCCCCGTTGACTAATTATATTATACCTTGTGGAATTCTCTGTCCATGATGCAAGTTCTACACTCAGGAATAAAACACGCCTTCTCGATTTCGTTAATACTCATCATCAATCAAATACCACCATCTAATCGTATTCCAATGAAACAGTAATACGATATTTAGATAAGAGAATGCTTTTACCTCACCATATTTGAAAAGTTCCATCATAATTTAATTATTATTATTATTATTTATTGTCTTCAGGTAGCTCTGTACAAAGTAGAGATAAACTGATTGACTGATGAAACACCCCGATGCTTATTGGTTATTTCATGCCTAAATCATTTCAAAAAGGATTACAATTTAGGTCAGAAACTGATGACATCATTTATACAACCACTGAAAACTATTGTAGAATGGAAAACTATTCTGGCCTAGTTGAAAATCTTTCAGCAGTTCACATCCATCATCCCACAGGGAGTTGAACTTAGTACCTTTGTGTTATAAAGCGAATCTATGGAGTATTTAGTCATCACGATAGATTTAAGTGGCACATAAAATTGTTATTTCTACAAATTCAGGATATGTAGCGAAGCTGTCGAATGATATCATGTGTGAGTATTTGTCTTCCTAGCTAACTTGGTGAACCCTACTGTCACAATTTCTCTCCAAGACTACATACAGACAACTTCACCTTGAATCAATTTGCAATAAGCATTAATATGACTTTCAGCTTGGATTAGGTTTGGAAGGATTTGATCGACTGCAAGTTAAAACGACGCAGTGACATTAAAATTGAAGATTCTAGTGAAAATCAAATGACTCAGTCTCCAGCTCATAGGACGTTACCGTATAGGGTTTCGTGAATTTCTAATGACTAGTTATCACCATATCAAAGTAAAGTTCGTACTCATCGAAGATTTTGTCTGGCAGTAGTGATTTAACACAAACTGATGAAATTTAAATTTAGAAAACAGAAAGATTGAGCGATTCAGCACCAAGGAGAGTTTGTATGGCCACAGTTCCGAAAAAAAACAATATTCATAAAATTGCAGTTCCTCGGTGACAACATCATCGAAATAATAACACAGAGCCTGAAGAATGCAGTTAAAAGAACTTATTATGCAGCAGAGGTACGTTGTCTCTTCACAACCAACCCTATTTTATGTTCGAGAAATAAGGATAAACTACCTAAATTCGCCTCCTCTATGTGTATCTACCAGTTTGACTGCAACTGCGGGGCCAGCTACATTGGGCGTACAATTAGGCAAGTTCATCGTCGTATTTCAGAACATCATCCAACGTGGTTAAGCAAGGGACAAAAAAGATCTATTCGTAGTTCTATTTTAGCCCACCTCGTTGATACTGAGCATAAGATTGATGTGAATACTGCATTTAAAATTATTTATCGCATTCCGACTTATCTTAATTTTGCTCTGAGAGTTCATCTTCTACAGACGGCTGAAGCAATTGGAATTCACCTGAAGAAGCCAAGCCTATGTGTACAGAAAAAATTTGTACAGCCATCGTTACAAGAATGCATAAACAGGACTACGTCACCCCCTTCCCCTAAACCTATAAAAATTATAATTGTCCAAATTATTTTATATTTTATATATTTTGACCACTTGATCTTTAATTACGTGTTATCCTTGTAAAATTAATTTATTCTAACCATTTCTACCTTTTAAATCTGTATTGATTTTCTTCGTTAATTATCAACCCACTGACATTTTGACACTGACTAATTATTGTTAACAAACTTATCGCCACTTAATTGGCAAACTGTTGTGTATTGTAATAAAAATGCTATACGTGTATATTAGAGTAGAGCCAGAGATGAGGATCTAATTGAAAAGTAAATATTTCTTCGCTCAATCTTTCTGTTTTCTAAATGTCTAAATGGAGATTTTTTCAATACTGAAATTAAAATTCACAGGTGAATCCATTTGAATGGTCCATGAGGTTGACTTCATAATCCTGGGTTCGATTTGTGGGAAGATTGTGTGTGCGCACATTAGCGAAAAATTTCATTTGTCCACTTCTTTCTTTAGTTTTCAATGTTCCCTCTAACTAATGATGCTTTGTAACACCGAATGAAAGACCGTAAAAATGGCGACAATACTGGGCTGATCACATAAATTCTATTAACCTCCGTCTACATTAGATTAGATTATATGAAAAAAGCCGCCCATGCTAAGCGTCCCGAAGAAACCACTCTACATGAACCTTCAATTAAATGGAGATATATCTGCGGAGACACTAAAAAATCGACCGTTGCGCTCACTAAAGAAGACCTTCTTCGCAGCTGAACTACGACTAACTTTCTCCACAAAACCTATGATTCATGTAAACATGAAGGATAAGCTATCACTGCTGGCCTCATCAGTGTGTATTTATCAATTCACCTGCTCTTGTGGAGCCAGGTATGTCGGTCGTACCCAGTGTTCGCTTTCCAAGCGTATCACCGAACACTTAACAGCATGGTTTACAAAGAAGAAAAACGATGTCCCCGCAGCTACACCATACATCTGATAGAATTCGGACACCAAGCTGCACCCCAAACAAACTTCAAAGTAGTCTACAGAGTAAGAAGTAGTCTTCCTAAAGGTGTACGAATCAGACTTCTTCAAACTGCAGAAGCAATGGCGATTCACTTGCTAAGCCCTGAACTCTGCATACAGAAGAAGTTCATTTAATCATTACACTTACAATGGACTTAATCTATCTTATTACCCGACAAGTAAATTCTATCTAATCTTTCTTTGTCTGAGCCTTCATTAGTATTATTTAGTCTTCTCAATTGTAATATTTTGCATTTTCAACTTTCTTGTTCTCTACCCCACCCGATTTAATTTCTACACCAAACTACCATTGTTAATGACCTGGCCAACGCTCAATTTCTAGTCATTTATGTTACGTCATCCAGCTTAATTGCTCAATTTCAGTTCTAATTTAAATGGCATTATTATCTACCCCACTTCCACTTAGTCTCTACCTGTAATTACCTCTGTTGCTACCCTGACCTAAGTTGAAACATTTTAGTCAATTATATTACGCCATCTAACTTTCTAACTCAATCTTACTTCAGTTGCTGTCCAATTAACCTTGTTTCTATATTAGATCATTCTTGTATTACCTGATCAATTATCTAAACTTGACAAACCTCATGTACACACACACAAATAATTATTTATAAATGCGATTGTACAGCTATGTGAATGAATTCACCGAAAAGAGTCTTTCGCTGAAAGTCTTCTCTTTTTCATATGACTAAATAGGGATTTTCAAGCTAGATTATATAAGACAGTAAATTTATTACAGGTTATACCAGTGTTTCTGTACATGATTTAAACAAGAATTTACGTATCACTAAAAGCATTTCAAACAAACTTATTGATAATCTAAAATTTAAAAAAAAAACAAACAACAAATCTCCTCTTCTCTAGATCTGATTGCAAAGATACAGAAACAGTTTGCGGAAACATTGAGATAACTGAGACGACAAGGCTTCATCTCATAACAAAGTCTGTATGCATCACTGAAACACCCACTGGAACGTTCACACCAAGATTATATAGTTCGCCTAAAGTGCACAAAAATGGTGCACCACTTCGACCAGTATTAGGTATGTTAAATTCACCATATCATCGTGTAGCCAAATGGTTAGTTGAAGTCTTACAGCCTCTACATACTGATTTGGCGGAACACAGTGTAAAGGATACTTTTAGATTTGTGGAAAGGAGAAAAGATTTAAATGTTGACAATAAATTTATGATATCATTTGTTGACGTATCTTTCTTATTCACCAATGTACCACTTAAGGAAACAGCAGACTTTGTATGCGACGAACTCATAAGACGAAACATGGATGTTGGCATTCTTATATCTTTTATAAAAGCGCTTCTCTTATAATGCACAATTAATGTCCACTTTTTATTTAATAAGGAACTTTATAGACAAATCGATGGTTTGGCAATGGGGTCACCACTAGGGCCCGTTCTAGCCGACATTTTCCTTGAGAAACTAGAAAACCCGCCTTTGAAAGATGTTATTGATGAATTTGAATTCTATTTTCGGTACATGGATGATACATTTCTGATTATGAAAAATGAAGAGGAAGCAAAGAACATCCTGGATAAGCTTAACGAGGTTCCTACTGCAATAAATTTTACTATTGAGAAAGAAAAAGACTCTAGTATTTCATTTCTAGACATCCTGATGGCCAGAAAAGAGAATGGCGCAATAAGAAGAAGTGTATGTAGAAAACCTACATTAACTGGTCAGTAAACTCATTTTCTCAGCTCCGTTCCACTGAAATACAAAATCAATCTGATAAAGTTCTTGGTTCACAGAGCAAAAGCAATCTGCTTAGATGAATGTCTTAATGAGGAACCCTAATAATATTAAACGGTTGCTGAGTGAAAACGGTTATTCAGAAAAGTTTTTTGATAAGAATATGAATCTAAAATCAAAGCAGCCCAAGGTACCAACAGTTCCTTAATAGGCCTTATTCTTATAAATTCAGTTCCATGGGGACAACATCAGAGAGATACTAACACAACGCCTTAGAAATGCGGTAAAAAGAGCATTCCCTGCTGCTTAATTACGCTGTGTCTTCAAAACTATCCCTATTTTGCGTTTGGGAGTAAAAGATAAAGTGTCTAATTTCGCCTCTTCCATGTGTATCTATCAATTTAACGGTTCCTGTGGAGTCAGTTAGCTGCACAGGCCATACAATTAGGCGTGTTTCTCGTCGAATTCCCGAGCATCACCCTGAGTAGTTAAGTAAAGAACAAACAAAATCTATTCGTAGCGCTATTATCTCTCATCTTGTGGATACAGAACACAAAATTGATGTAAACCAGGCTTTCAAAGTCATTTACCGCATACCGAGAAATCCTAACTTCGCCTTAAGAGTTCATCTAATAAATACTGCTGAGGCTGTTGGGATCCACATTAAGAAGCCCAATTTATCTGTCCAAAAGTAGCTAGTTCAGACATTGTGCTTACCTAAACCATCTAGGTTTCGAATGATCTTCAATATTTTTGTAGAAATTTCCTTAATTTCATTTGATCTTCTGTTTGCTATCATATTTTTACTACTATTATTATTATTTAAGCATCTTTAATGAACTGTAAATCCATTGATATTTTATTTAACAAAACGAAAGCTTTCCAGTTAAATCGATCAATGAAGAGAACACATAACCAATTTAAAATTGGCAGATTAAACATTGGAGTACGATATTTTGAGGAGATTATTTGATGAAAAAAGGAGTTAAATGCTACTGCATGAAGGCAGTTGTGAAGCCAGTCGAAATAGACAGAGAAGAAGAATGTGGTTTAATCATGAGAAGATTGTTAGCTTTAAACAATTACTAAGATTAATACTATTTATTATTGATCATAAATACACATAAATACGAGATAATTAATGACAGATAGATTAGAAAGGCTATCTTACCTTTTACATGATGGGCAATGAAAGGAAGCAGTATAAAACCGGTTAATATGAACAGTATATGAATATGCTTCATTTGGATAATTAAGTCTCACTAGAAAAATGAATTGCACATCAACATATACATGTATATATATATATACTACCTTGTATTCATGTGAATTTATTTATTGAAAAACTTGAAAACATCATTTGTATACACATCTCTGTGTTTACATCTTATGATGTAATAAATTGAACATTGAATTCAATTAAATATGGTGATGTGCATTTGGCGGTTATTATGATTTGCAGCTGATTGTTTTTATGAATACATATATGTATGTCTATATGTATATATCTGCATCCGTACCTGACTCTTAACTGTGTTTTTTACTTATGTCACTTATACAATCGTGATAAACACGAAGGATATGTAATGGCTGAAATGAAATGTTGTTTAATGAGAATGATGCATCTGTTATGACGATCATGATGTGGAGGCTAAATATTATTCCTACTGTACTTTAAATTTTATCTTTCCATCATGTTATCTATATTATTACATCACATAGAATTGTGTTTGAATGAACCCCAGTGTTTTCGATAACTACAGTCCCAAGCTATACACACACAGTTATAGATCCATGAATAATAGAGAAGATTTCTAACTCAGGTGAATGATTTGCAATTAATAATGTTCTCTGAGCTGGTTGGTTTAGTTGTGGAGCTTTCGTTGTCCCACTTCTGGACAACATCCCCCTTCAACACAATTTTTAGCATAAAGTGAAATGATTTAAATTTCTTCATAAGTGATTTAATTTCCTTCCTCCGGTAACCATCTTCACATATGTATTAATCATTTTCTATTGACATGAGTTTTAAACTTTCTGGTCACATAATTTACTTTTTATTATATATTTCGTCTATATTAACGCGTTTGTTAACTGCATGCATATCCATTTGAGTACCAGGCTTGGCTTCTAGGAATTCCCTGACTACCCTTTTGATGTTTCCTCTGTCTAAGATTTCGACATTATCCCAATCAAATTGATGTCCATAATTGTCTATATGCATTGATACTAAAGAACATATATCGTGTTCTTTCACGGCTGATTTGTGTTCTTGGATTCTAATTCGAAGGGGACGCCCACGTTGGCCGATGTAATGTTTGTTACAGTTCATACAATTTATTTTGTAAATGGTATTAATCCTATCTCCTTTTTCTATCGGATCTTTTGGTTTGCATAATATCGAATTAAGCGATTTCACTGACTTGTGTGGTATATCTATATCAAACGGTTTCAGTATTCTAGCTGTTATTTCAGAGATATTTCTCATGTATGGTTGGGGTGAATTTCCGTTTGATCTTTGATGATGGTTCTTTGTTGGTGTTTTGATTCGACTTTAAACACTTTTCGATGAAACTTTGTGGATAACCATTCTTTTTGAAGACCGTTTGTAGGTAATTTTCTTCCATTCTTTTCAACTTTGGAGTGCTACAATGTGTTTGAACTCTTTTAAACAATGTTTGCACACAATTTCTTTTGTGAGTGAGTAATTGGATTATTGCTAGTATAGTTGAGCATTTGATCTGTGTACGTTAATTTTCTATATATTTGTGTTTCTAAATTTTCTGTGTTAGTTCTCCAGATTAAGACATCTAAAAATGGGATTTTGTTATCGAATTCTTCTTCTCTTATGGTGAATTTAATGTCCTCAAATGTGTTGTTTATTAATTTATGGGTATATTCTAAGTCATTTCTTTTAATTACTACAAATGTATCATCAACGTAACGTACCTGCTCAGATTTTCGGTTTAATTATAGGTAGAGCTATTAATTCTAATCTTTGCATGATGGCTTCAGCTATTAATCCTGATATGGGCGATGATCCCATTGGTGTTCCTTTTATCTGTTCATATATTTGAGTATTGAATTGGAAGTATGTTGTAAGACATAATTTTGTGAGTTCTATCCAAGTTGAATATCACTGCGTTTTTATGTTTTCATCACTATAGAGTAATTGTTGCATAGTTTCTGTTGCTAGTTTTAGACTAATTGAAGTATATAATACCGTGACATCATTTCACTTTATTCTAAATACTGCGCTGAAGATGTTGTCCAGAAAGACTACGAAAGCTTCACAACTAAACCAACCAGCTCAGAGAACACTATTAATTGCAAATCTATGAATATTATTTGGAATAAATACACTGCTCAAATGGTCTAGTGGATAACCTGCTTTTGGCTTTTGAAACTATGAGCACTGGGTTCGATGGGAACATCATCACATCACTGACTGAGTAATGCAGGCACATCCACTAGCTGAAGAGTCCCAAATAGGACGAGATGCACATCTTAGATTCTACTGTTAGTCACCATCCACCAATTAAATTCTAATCAATAGTTAGTAAAGGCAAGTGAAAATTTTGTCAGAAATTATATTGTGGCACATGTATACGATAGAATCATAGTCTGTATCTGTGATGTATGGTCAAAAAGAACATAAGATAAAATGTGAATAGACAACTGCATATTTCATTCATTGGAAAATACAAAAACGTTTATAATAATGAAGACGACTGGGTGACACACTGATGTATTTATAGTCTGTTTGGATGGAGGATTTCATCATGAGCTGATGACATCAGTTAGAGAACCAGTGGAAAACCACCTGGGAGTACTGGACAGCTGTTTCCTCCGTATTAGTTTAGGACTCTTCATCGGTAGGCATCCACCAAGGTTCGGAACCAGGGTCTTCTGGTTACAAGGCCAGCGAGCTAGTAGACCATTGAGCGGCTGAGACCCGATCCAATGACCCACGAATTTATAATCAACGGAATATAATTAATGTCAGTAAAAAGTCTGAACATTGTGGAGTAGATCAAATAAAGTATAATTATATTTTAATAGTTTACACGCAACAATGATAGGTTTTTGTTTTTTCTTTTGGTAATATTTCGAGCAAAATTACTGCCTGTGATCACACCAACTGTTGAAATCGCTTTGTTTTCAATCCACACATTTATGATTTGTACTCATATAAACAGTTCTTCTTTGTATTTGTTGTCGATTCATTTTTGTATATCCAGAATTCTATTCCAGGTTGTTGACAGTTGTGTTGAGTCGTCCTTGTTACATGTATCCGCTGTGACGTTAATTAATATAAATATAGATTCTGTTATATCTCTCTTTCCATTTGTTCATATTAGGTTTCAGAATACAAACATTGTTCCAATCAATATTTTATGGGTTTTTGTCCCATGTATGTGCAGCTAGGAAGCGGTGAGTTGGTCGTCAGTGTAAGGGTGACATGGAGATACAGGAGGTCATGTGAAGAGGAGATGGAAGCATGCCGGCAGGTGGAAACACTGGCGGACAACCGAACTCAATGGAGACGTGCGGCTGAAGCCCCATGTTCCTCTAGGAACTAAAAGAAACAATAATAATACATGTTCAGCTATAGACGAATTTTCTTTCTGAATTACTGTAAGCTTGTGTTCCTATCTGATGACCTTTAGTTAGGCATTTATGTTCATTCATCCCTATTTTGAGTGGCGTTTGGACGTTTGACCCACATGTTTAGTTGGACAGTCGACCAAGATATTCTGTAAATTACATAACTACTTTTATCCATCATTTTTTTGGATCATTCAGTTGATTTATTTTATTTCTAATTATATTCATTGGTTTGAACGTGATGAGAACTCCAATATTTTTTGAGATTTCTTCGAATTACCTCTTACATACCTCTTTTTTATGGTATTGTGATTGTTTGTCTGCCGTCCTCCTTCTTGTCATTCTCTGGTTTTACCCTCTTTCTTCTTCTTTGTATTATTTCTGATAAATTCTTTAAGGTAGTTGTTTTCGAATAGTATTCTGAATAGGACGTTTATTTCTTTTCGTCCGTCAGTTGGTGTTGTTGTAAGTCTACGTATTCTATCTGCAAGACCTTGTACTAATCCTCGTTTAACCGTGAGTGGCTGGGCTGAGTGGTAATCAAGGAATCTCCCAGAATGTGTAGTTTTCCTATATAGCGTCGTTTTTATGCTACTACATGTTACTCTTTATGCTTGGCAGTCTAACATAGGCAGTTCTTCAATTTTATTCTCTACATCCATATTGAATTCTATTGAGTCGACATGACTGTTTACGTGTGAGAAGAATTCCCCAGCATCGTTTTTTCCCTTAATACTAACTTATCGTCTGCATATCTCCAGCAACATTTTATTGATGACCTGAATGGCGTAGGTGCATTCTCTTCCCCAAACATCCATGAATATGTCAAATATTATTGGTGAGTGAGATGGGCAATCCCATGGCTACTCCTCCTTCATTTTATTGGTATATTTTTCCTTCAAATGTAAGATATGTTGTTGTTGTTGTTCTAAGACAGAATTCAACCTCTTTATTATCTCTTCTACGGATAACTGTGTCCTGACTTTTAGGCCATCATCTTCTTTTAGTCTTGTTTCAAGCGCATTCATGGCTATTTGAATGGGTACTTATTTTAGTATAGAGACTGATTACATCAAAGCTGACCAGTATTTACTTTTAGTCTTTTTTAGTGTTTTTTAGTCGTCTCACTAATTCAAATGAATCTACTATTCTAGCTTTTGAGTTGTCTCTTATCGATCTTTCTATTGTTGAGAGAAATCTTGACAGCATATACGTTGATGTGTTTCTAAAGTCTACAATCGGTCTTATTGGATATCCTTCTTTATGCAATTTTATCTTGCCTTATATCCTAGATATATTACATGATTTCGGCATAATTTCAAACAATTTTGACTTACCAATTACTTATTTCATCTGTCTAACCACATTTACTGTTTCTTTCATCGTTTTGTTTATAATCGTTTCTGATGATTTCATCATTAGAGTGTGGGGTTCAGACTGTTAATGTTCATTCATATATTCTTTTTTGTTAAGTCTTATTGTTGTGTTTCCTTTTTCTGCTTGAGTAATGACACTGAATTTGTCTGCTTTCGATGTCTTGAGGTGTTTTTAGTTCCTCCTTCGTTACATTCAGTTTTTCTGCTTTTTGCTTTTTTTTGCAAAGTTAATGCACATTGTGCCCGTGTGGTGAGAGCAG